GGAGGAGGAGGGAAGGAAGGAAGGAAGGAAGGAAGGAAGGAAAGAAAGAAAGAAAGAAAGAAAGAAAGAAAGAAAGAAAGAAAGAAAGAAAGAAAGAAAGAAAGAAAGAAAGAAAGAAAGAAAAAGAAAAATTGTACTTGGTTTTAATTAATGATTTTAGTGCAAACTGTTTTGTTATGCTTTTAATCATAGCCGTGGTGGTGCCGGGGTTAGAATGCAGTATTGCAAGCGGACTCTGCTCACTGCCAGCAGTTCAATTCTCACTGGCTCAAGGTTGATTCAGCCGCCCATCCTTCTGAGATGGGTAAAATGAGGAGCCAGATTGTTGGGGGCAAATATGCTGATTCTATAAACTGCTTAGAGAGGGCTGTAAAACACTGAAGTGGTATATAAGTCTTAAGTGCTATTGCTATTTTAATTTAGTATTATATTTTCTAAGCTACCAGAGGCTGTTGAACTGGGCAGATACAATAAATTACTTTAAAAAAAAATCCAGGTGAAAGAACATAAGGGCACGGATCAGTGAAGTTAAATCAATGAAAGGATAGTGGCTAAACTCCCAAAGTTTGACAGAACCCATTTGGACTAGTGGTGAAGGTGCTGGCCTAAAAACCAGGAAATTGTCAGTTCTAGTCTTGCCTTAGGCACAAAAGCTAACTGGGTGACTTTGGGCTAATCACCAGGAGACTGTGAGTTCTAGTCCGGCCTTTTGCACAAAAGCTAACTGGGTGACTTTTGGCCAATGACCAGCAGACTGTGAGTTCTAGTCCTGTCTTTGACATAAAAGCCATCTGGGTGACTTTCGGCCAATGACCAGCAGACTGTGAGTTCTAGTCTTGCTTTAGGCACAAAAGTTGGGTGAGTGATTTGGGGCCAATCGCACTCTCTCTCAGCCTAACACACCTCACAAGGTTGTTGTTGTGAGGAAAATAAGAGGAGGAAGGAATATTAGGTATGTTTGCCACTTTGAGTTATTTTTAGAAACAATAAGGGTGGGGAATATAAATAATTATATACCCCTTCCATGCTGTTTAAAGAACTTGGATTTCCAAAAAATTGCTTAAATTCAAGAAGTGTCTCCAAACTCTGAAATTGTTTCTTTGGGGGAGAAATAAAACTACATTTGGACTGTGTCAACTTCCTAATTCTTTGGCCAGACAGCAGCTACCTATATAACATCTGTCAGCAAATTACTAGCTACAGAATATAATATATTGATTTTTGGGTTTTTTTTTGGTAGCTCCCTATTTTTCGGCCCAAATGGCAAAATAATTGGATGGACCTAAAGTACAATCCATCTTTTTGGATGAAGAGGAAATGGCATTGGTTGATATAGTTCTGATTAAAAAAAAACCGCGTTCTAAATATAAGATTGAAGACTGGAAAGTAACAGTCTACCAAAACTGTTTGTCTTTATGATTAAACTCCAATTTTCATTCTTCCTCCCCAAAATCTGATTAAAGCCAGCCAGCTTGAGCACCAATTTTTCATTCCTACCTTCCCTTCTGACATTTCTAATTAGCCTATTGGAAAGAATTATTACGAACAGTTTCTGTAATATTATTCCCGTTATGCGAAGATGGAAATGTAAGATGACCCATTAATTTCCCAGCGTGGACATCAGTAGTGTATATGTAGTAGCTTATCGCTGTTACGTTTGATAAATTAAAATTCATCTGTTCAAGGTCGTGGGGAATGGGATGCAGTCAGATAAAATGGCTGGGAAAATTCTCTGCGAAAATGGTCTCGAACCTTGTGCTGCAAATCAGCACAACTATATATTTTAAACTAAGGAAAAGAAAGGAAAAGAATGGAGGGGAAGGGAGGGGAGGGGAGGGTAGAGCGGGGGAGAGGGGCAGGAGAGAAGAGGAGAGAGGAAGGGAGGGCAGGCCAGGAGGGGAGAGGGGAAGAGAGAAGAAGAGAGGGGAGAATAGAGGAGGGAGGGATGGGATGGGGATGGGAGGAGGGGAGGCGGAGGGGAGCGGAGGGCAGGAGTGGAGAGAAGAGGAGAGGAGAAGAAAAGGGAGAATAGAGGAGGGCATAGGAGGGGAGGGAAGGGGAGGGCAGAAGTGGAGAGGAGAGGAGAGGGGAAAGAGAGGGGAGGGCAGGGGAGTGTAAGGGAGAGGAAAGGAGGGCAGGGCAGGAGTGAAGAGGAGAGGAGAGGGGAAAGAGAGGGGGAAAGAGGGGAGAGCAGGGAGGGTAAGGGAGAGGAGTGGGAGGGAAGGGCAGGGATGGGATGGGCAGGGCAGGAGAGGAGGGCAGGAGAGGAGGGCAGGGCAGGGCTGGGCAGGAGGAGAGGGGAAAGAGAGGGAGAAAGAGGGGAGTGCAGGGGAGGGTAAGGGAGAGGAGTGGGAGGGAAGGGCATGGCAGGGAAGGGAAGGGCAGGGAAGGGCAGGCAGGGAAGGCCTGGGCTGGGCTGGGCTGGGCAGGAGTGAAGAGAAGAGGGCAGAAAGAGAGGGGGAAAGAGGGGAGAGCAGGGGAGGGTAAGGGGGAGGAGTGGGAGGGAAGGGCAGGAGTGAAGAGGAGAGGGGAAAGAGAAGGGAAAGAGGGGAGAGCAGGGGAGGGAAAGGGAGAGGAGTTGGAGGGAAGGGAAGGAAGGGCAGGGCAGGAGTGAAGAGGAGAGGGGAAAGAGAGGGGGAAAGAGAGGAGGGAAGGGAAGGGCAGGAGAGGAGAAAAGATACACTCTGAAAAGATTCAATAGATTTATTACGGAGGAGAGTTAAAATCCAGTATATCCATGTAAATCTTATCCAAACTATCTTTAGAAATCAGAAATTCAGAGCCTTGCTTCTCATATATAATTTCACGTTTTCAGTGCCTGATATTTTAAATATTTATATACCATCTGCCTGGTAAACGTATTTGCAAGGTCACTCCCATTAAAGGACCAAAATAGAGATAGCTTCAACAAACAATAAAATCATAATGCAAAGCTAAGAGTGACATCTGAAACACTTCGAGCAGCAACCAACAGATGTAGGTGTTTGCAGGATTACAGAATAGGAGAGAGCTCCATATTTTAAGGATACATCTTCCTTAGTCTGCCCCCTCAAACCAGTTTCTGAAAATTTAATCCCTAAAACTTTATAGAAATTTTAGACATTAAATTGGAAATGAAATCACATTTTTAACTAAGTATCATTCCAGAATGCATTGAGAAGAAGAAACTCCGTAGCCAGAGTGGTGAAGATAAATTTTGTTCAAGATACAATATTTACATATGCAGCAATGGTGAAACTCAACAATATACACAGAATGTAGAAATTTAAAATTCAAGCAAGAACGACTTACATGTAAAACGGAACACAAGAACCAGTAGTAAAACTGGAGGGAGGCCCCGCCCACCAGCCCGGACACGCAGAAGCAAGGTGCGTGCGTGAGTGATCCCGTTGCAAACTGGTAGTAAAGTTAAGTAGAACCTACCCCTGATGCTATGGTTTTTAAGGGTGTCTAAATGTCTATAAACACTGTAAATCAGTTGAACTATTTAGAAAGGGGAAGTTAGAGATTAAATACATATCTCCATTTTTCTAGCAACTCCTTTTTTCCTTTTCTTTTAATATCCATCAATAATAGTAAACAACAACAACAACTAGTCCCAGACTGTGAATCAAATTGAAGATTTAATCAATCAATCATCATCATCATCATCATCATCATCATCATCATCGGTATTTGTGATGCATTCTTGAATGTTCAATTGACTGAGTTTCATGTTTAATGAATAAAGTAAATAATAATAATAATAATAATAATAATAATAATAATAATAATAATAATACAGTGTATGAACTATGTACTAATAATACTACAGTGTATGAACTATGTACTATTAAGTTTTTAAAAACTAAACACTTTTCAGGTCATTAAAAATTTACATGTGTTTTGCATTTTTTTAATCAATGTCATATTTAGCAATAATTGCACACTTAAACAATTTTATATTCATTTGTTTTTCTTTTTATGACCCTTGTAGTCAAAGAAAAAGAACTGGAAAAAATCATGAAATATTGCGACCTGGCCATCGAAACTACACGGCTATGGACGTAACATGTAACAGTGATACCCATTGTCATCGGGGCACTCGGTACCATGTCCAAGAATTTTATAAGCTACATCAACAAATTGCAGCTTCCTGCAATGACATCAGCGGAACTGCAAAAAACTGTGCTACTTGGAACATCGTACATCTTAAGAAGGTACTTGGTTGATACCTAGGATGCTGGCAGCAACCCGTATCAACCATTAGCACCAGTCAATGGTATTTGTGATGCCTTTTTGAATCTTCAGTTGACTTAGTTTCATATTTAATGAATAAAGATGATGATGATGATGATGATGATGATGATGATGATGATGATGATGATGATGATAACAATAATAATAAAATACAGTGAGTATGAACTATGTACTATTAAGTTTAAAAAATCTATGATAAACACTTTTCAGGTCATTAAAAATTTACAAGTGTTTTGCATTTTTTTTATCAATGTCATATTTAGCAATAATTGAACACTTAAACAATTTTATATCCATTTGTTTTTCTTTTCATGACCCTTGTAGTCCCTCGATACAGGGTAGGATCAGGGCAACTGGCTGGAGCTGAGCGTTTATTGGCCGGATGCCCTTCCTGACACCTACATGGAGTTCACAGCAGATATTTTCTCTTTGCACCCTGATAGAGAAACATCGCCGCTGCCTAAGGTTGAATTCTCAACCTTCCAAGTGAGAGACGAGTGTCTTCACCTCTAGGCCACCACAAGAAAGTAGGCAAGCAACTTTACATTCTTTAACATTTTAGAAATCATGTTCAATATTCATAGGATGTTCTCACCTTTCAAGGTTTAATTTATCTTAATCATCACCGTGCTAATAGTTTCCTGTTCCGGCTGTACAAATGGCACTTTACTGAGAATATGCATTCTGTAATGATTTACTTAAATTATATAATGCAATAAAACAATTAACCATTTTCTTTTTCTTATTATTAAATTCCTCACCTCTTTGTTCAGGTAGAACTGCTGACAAGCGATGTGGGATCTTAGCCGAAATTTTCAGACTTGTACGTATCAAATAATACCTAAAAAGTAGATTTGGAAACAAAGAAGACGGTTAGAAATGAGTAGCTTTTCATAGTGAGAGTAAATTTAAAAATCCAAATTTGTTGCAGCAAAGCTGCCAGCAACTCATATGAAATTTTATAAAAAGATTTGAGGTGCTACTACACAAAAAAAGTGAGAATACTATCAAAATGTACACAAATGATGAAATAGATGTAATTACTAAATAAAACAAGAAATTGAAATGAGAAATAGGTGTAAATAGAAAATCGGGGGTGCTCGAATACCATTCTAGATTAAATTGAAAAGGGAAACAATAAGAGAGGGGGAAAGGAGTAGAGAGAGAGGAAGGGAGAGGAGAGGAGAGGAGAGGAGAGGGAGAGATAGAAGAGAGGGAAAAGGAGAGGAAGAAAAGGAAGGGGAAAGAGGAGTAGGAGAGAGGGTCAGAAAGGGGGGGAGGAAGAGAGGAGTGGGGGAAGGGAAGGGGAAGTAGGAAAGAGAGGGAGAGGAAGAAGGAATAAAGTAGGAAGAGATAGAGGAAGGAAGAGAAGGGAAGGAGAAGAAGAAAAGGTGGCAAAATAAAGAAGGGTAAATGGTAAAAGAGTAGCCCCGAACAACTAAAAACTGAAAATGAAAGTTAAAAGATAAGATGAATGAAAAATGATGGATAAAAGATTGTACATTTAAATATATTTATGAGAAATAAAAATAAAAACTTTTCTAAAATAAAACACACATCAAGAAAAAACAGAATGGAATTTTATCTATCAGGACAAGAATCTAGATTACTCTCAAGTGGAGAATGGTGGAGGAAGATGGGTGCTAAAAAGAGAGGAAAATGACTTTATTTCCATTTCCTTGTATTTCTTATGGAAAGTTCTGAGCCAAATGACAACACTCATAGTTATTTTTTTTTTCTTCTTCTTTTTACATATAAAACTTTTTTTTTTCTTTAAAAACAAGAACAGTAACAAACACAAAACATAAATTCCATTTTACAACAGTTTCATATCGTCTTCTTTTAAAGTTCATGTTTTTCCCCCTACCTCATTTATATATATATTTCTTTATCTGTTATACATATTATTGTATATTGTATTATCTATATATTACTTGAATATAATTGAATATATATTACACATATTGTCTGTTTAGTGGCATATTAGTAATCCTTCTTACTTGCTGTTCCTGACCTCTAGCCATTTATACCATTAATTCCATATTAAATAATATTCCGTTTCATCTTTTTCTTTTATCTCTTTCGTCCATTTGTCCATTTCTGCACAATCCAAGAGTTTCCTTATCACCGCTTCCTCTTTTGGTATAGTGTTGCTTTTCCAATTCTGTGCGTATGTTATCCTGGCTGCCTTTTATAATGTGTAAAATTAAATATTGTATTTTCTTTGGTATAGTTTCTGGAGAGAAACTATACCAGGGGTGAAATACTCCCCGGTTCAGACTGGATCGCCCAAACCGTAGCGATGATGGCGGGTGGTTCAGAGAACCGGTAGCAAAAATCCCTGCCCCCCCCACCCCCCCCCATGCCCAGCTGAGCCGCATGATCATCAGAGGCTTTTTTTTTTTTTTTTTACTTTTAAAAGCATTTTTCTTCGGCCAAAAAATGCTTTTAAAAGTAAAAAAAAAAAAGCCTCTGATGATTGCACAGCTCAGCTGGCATCGTCAGAGCAATTTTTCTACAACCTCTTTGGCCAAAGAGATTGTTAAAAAGTGCTTTTAAAAGGCTCTGACGATCCCAGCTGAGTTGCCTGATTGTCAGAGGCTTTTAAAAGCATTTTAATCTCTTCTTAAAAACCTCCACCGTTGGAGCAGAGTGGCAGTGTGCAAAATGCAAGCAGGAGCAGTAATCCCTCAATGGCATAACCAAATAACTGTCACTACCACTTAACAATAGATATTTTGGACTCAGTTGTAGCTGTAAGTTGGGTAGCTCAGAAGTGACCTGTAGCAGTGGTGAAATCCAATTTTTTTTACTACCAGTTCTGTGGGCGTGGCTAGGTGGGCGTGGTGTGGCTTGGTGGGCATGGCAGGGGAAGGATACTGCAAAATCTCCATTCCCACCCCACTCCTGGGGGAAGGATATTGCAAAATCTCCATTCCCACCCCACTCTGGGACCAGCCAGAGGTGGTATTTGCCGGTTCTCTGAACTACTCAAAATTTCTGCTACCGGTTCTCCAGAACCTGTCAGAACCTGCTGGATTTCACCCCTGACCTGTAGGCTTTCTAGACATTAACAATACTTCTTTCTGATAATGTTGATTTTTAAGCATGAAACCTACAACAGTAATAGAAGCGGAGCAAATGGTTATTTGGGAAAAGGAAGGCTGGATTTTCTTTGTCCACCCTTCTCTATGCCAGAGGTGGTATTCAGACGGTTCAGACCGGTTCAAGCGAACCGGTAGTGGAAATCACAGGTGGGCCCACCCACCCGCTATGACTCTATGCTGTCCTATTTAGGCATGTTTTTGAGGCATGCGCGGAAGGCTGGTGTAGGCAGTGGAAATAGCCGGCCTTTTGGTGCTCCAGGCCTTCCCATTGGGCCAGCGCGCCATGTGGGAGTTCTGGGTGGTGTCAGGAAGTGGCACCTTCGTGGTTGTGGAAATGTAGTGGAACATGTCGTGCAGGTGGTACAGATGTGGGACCAGATGCTTCCAAAAGACAACCTTAGTGACACGGTAGTGGTCACGCACCCGAGGCTTGAGGCCAATGTGGAGGTAGAGCTGATCACAGGGATTGTACTCAGACCAGGCGACTTCCTCAAACCGATTGGCCTTGGTGTGGATGAACATGGTGTCCTGGGGCAAACCAGTGGTCACAAAATGTGAAACCCACTGCTGCTCTATGCACACTCCTTGTGCACAGTCACTCATGCCTTGGTCACGTCACGCCTGGACTACTGCAACGCTCTCTACATGGGGCTCCCCCTGAGGAGCACCCGGAGGCTCCAGCTGGTGCAGAATGCGGCCGCGTGGTGATTATGGGAGCGACGTGGCACTCCCACGTAACACCTCTCCTGCGCGAGCTGCATTGGCTCCCGGTGGTCTTCCGGGTGCGCTTTAAGGTGTTGGTTCTCATCTTTAAAGCGCTCCATGGCTTAGGGCCAGGGTATTTGCGAGACCGCCTGCTGCTACCGATAACCTCCCACCAGCCAATACGCTCCCACAGAAAGGGCCTCCTCAGGGTGCCGTCGGTCAGGCAATGTTGGCTGGCGGCCCCCAGGGGGAGAGCCTTCTCTGTGGGGGCACCCGCCCTGTGGAATGAGCTGCCTCCTGGAATACGATTGATCCCGGACCTCCATACCTTCTGTAAAACCCTGAAGACGTTTTTATTCCATCAAACCGGCCTAGCCTAAATGGTTTTTAATTGGGATTTTAAATTTTATGGATTTGGGGGTTTTAAATTGGGAAGCTAGTGATTTAATTCTGTTTAATTATCTTAACTTTTGTATTTGTATGTTTTTTTAATTTTGGCTGTTCACCGCCCTGAGTCCCTTCTGGCAGAAGGGCGGTATACAAATTAAATTAATAAATAAAATAAAATATTTAATCCAGAAATGTAATGGCTGAGGGGGGAAAATCAATTATCTACTCCAATGAGTTTCAAACTTTCTCATTTCAGGAGATCAGAGATTCCTATATGCCCTGGAGGATCAAGGACACAAAATCAACATCCCTTAATATATCACCAAGAATCTTCGTCCCTAAGAAGAGGCGGCTGGTGAAAACGCAGGCTGAATTTATGCTGCAAATGCAGAAGATTTTATGGCCAATGCTACAAGTGATGTTATGTTTCAATGTAAAGCCAGAGTAGAACATAGTGTGCACGCCATCAGGGGGAAGATATTTTGATGCATCCCCCAAAGGAGTATGCTGCAGACCAACATATGTTGCTAGTTGTTACATTGGATATGCTGACTAATCTCTTCCCGAGTTTTAAATGTAAAAAATAAATAAAAATGCATCTGGCAACTGTAGGAAGGAGAAAGAGTAGAAACAACAAGATTCTCTAGAGAATCAGAGGAACGTTACTGCTAAAGTGTGTGTGTGTGGGGGGGGGATGACAACAACCAGCTTCAGAGGCCATGAGGCAGCCATTTTAACACAATACCCATAAGAATAACAGAGTTGGAAGGGACCTTGGAAGTCTTCTACTCCAATCTCCTGCTCAAGCGGGAAACCCTATATCCATGATGGCGAACTGATGGCATGTGTGCCACAGGTTGCACGTGGAGCCATATCTGTGGGCACGGGAGCTCAGCTCCTAGCTGATTTTCAGGCCTTCTGGGCCCACCGGAAGTAGGGAAACAGGCTGTTTCCTTCCTCCAGAGGGCCTGGGGGTGGTGGGGAAGGCTGTTTTTGCCCTCCCCAGGTTCCTAGAGAGGCTCTGGAGCCTGGGGAGAGCAAAAAACGGGCCTACCGGGCCCACTGTACCATCACGTGCCAAAAGCGGGGTGAGTGCAGAGGGGTCGCGCGTGCATGTGCAGGGGGCGGGGTGCATAGAATTATGGGTGTGGGCACGCATGCGCGTGACACCCCCTGCGTTCCCCCCGTTCCTCCCCCAGCATTCCCCCCAACACGATAGCAAAAAGATTAGCCATCACTGCCCTATACCATTTCAGACAAATGGTTGTTCAATCTCTTCTCAATAATCTCCAGCGTTGGAGCACCCAAGACTTCTGGAGACAAGTTGTTCCACTGATTAACCATTCTAACAGTCAGGCCTTAGTTCTAGGTTGGACCTCTCCTTGATTGGGTTCCATCCATCGCTTCTTGTCCTGCCTTCAGGTGCTTTAAGAATAGTTTTGTGGAAGCCCTTTAGATATTGGAATGGTGCTATCATGTCACCCCTAGTACTATTAAACTAGACATACCCAATTCCTGCAATCGTTCTTCATACGTTTTTAACCTCCAATCCCCTAATCATCTTTGTTGCTCTTCTCTGCACTCTTTTTAGAGTCTCAAGGACTAACTGAATAACAGAGTTGGAAGAGATCTTGGAGGT